TATTTACAGCATCAGAGCACGAGGATATTTGCCAGCTATTTGCAGCTTAAAGGATAAACAGCAGTTCCTTTGATCCTGGGCTGTTGGAAGGGTTATATTTAAAACCATTCATGTCTCCCCAGCCCTTCACCCTTTACATCATTTGTTTTATGCTTTGCACTCACCCCACTGCTGGAAATATCACATTCCCAGTACAGGGGTGCAGTAAATACCCTTTATGGGAATGAAACAGGTTGGGAGAGACACCCCCCCTCCACTGTGCCAAACCAAAATAGAAAATAAATAAAATACAACAATCAGAGCTTGGACTAAAAGGCACCTTTTGTCACCGTTTCTCTGAGTAGGTGGGAAATGGAGCTGGGAATGCAGCTCAGGAACACTCAACCTGGGAACATCAAAGGGAGCCTGAAATGGGCAAGAAATGATGGAGAACTTTGCTAAACCTTGGAGTTTTCTGATGGCTGGAGGGCAGGAAAGTTGTGTTTACTACGACCAACAGGTTTGTTTGGAAGGAAATAAGAATCAACAGCAAACCACTCAGAATTTGGCTGCTTGTCCTTCCCAACCAGAGGGACTCAGCCACCCTCCAGATCCCTTCTGAGAAGGGTTGGTGGGCCAGGGCTACAAACACTGGGCTTTTGGGAAAAAAAAAATAAAGAAAAATGCAATATTTTAAAAGATTGGAAAAGACCTCTGAGATCATCGAGTCCAACCAGTCATCCCCCCCCACCATGTTCATCACTAAACCACGGCCTGAAGTGCCACCTCCACGGGGTTTTTTTGAACACTTCCAGGGATGGGGACTCCACCACTGCCCTGGGCAGCTGGGCCAATGTTTGACCACCCTTTCCAAGAAGAAATTTTTCTTAATATCCCATCTAAACCTCCCCTGGCACAGCTGGAGGTGATTTCCTCTCATCCTGCCTTGTGCTTGAGCTCTGATGGAAGACTGGAAACATCTTGAGATCCCCAAATTTTGATTTCCTCCCCACCCCCCCTGAAAACTTTCCCATTCTTCTGGGTCATTTCCATGGAAGCCCCTCAGGGTTTTGATTTGTTGCAGTGTGAAATTTATGCCGAGGTATTAAATGGAAAGGCGAGGTGTTTATTGGAAATATGGAAATACAGCAGTAAAATACAGGTTTCAAAATAAAAACGTGAGCAAAACAAACGGCACGAGTGAAATGCCAGATCAAAACAAGGCACTGAAAATAAAATGTCATTTTTCTCGGCTTTGCCCATCTGAGCAATATTCCTGTGAAGTGTTTTGCATACAGTGATAAAGAATCTGCATTTATAGAGTTTTATGCCATCAGACTTGTTTGTCTGATGACAAATGAGAAGTTACCACCTCTCCCAGCTCTAATATTGTCTGTATTAAGATGTGCTTGGGTTTTAGTAGTTTCAGGACTTAAACTGGGCTTTGCTCTTTCCTGGCCTGGCCCAAGGCTGGCAGATTTGACACTTCAAAGAGTGAAGTGTCAAAGACACTTCAAAGAATGAATTTTGTCATCAGGATTTTCCAAACTAGGAAAAGGTTGTTAGTAAAATAAAGGATCCAAAGGAAGGTGCAGCACAGTGGAATTTTGGGGCATCACCCAGAGCTCTGAGGAGCAGCCAGGGAAGGAAAACCAAACCTCTCTCTTGGCTGGGTGCAGAGGATGGTGTTGGTCATGCTGGGGAGGACAAGCTGCATCTCCTGACCCCACCCTGGAATTGTTGAGGTTGGGAAAGACCTCTGAGATCAAGTCCAGCTGTCAGCCCAGCACCATCACTGAGTTCACCACTAAACTACGTCCTCAAGTGCCACATCCATGCTTTTGTGAACTCCTTCAGGGCTGGGGACTCCAGCACTTCCCTGAGCAGCCTGTTCTGGTGCTTTATAGCCCCTTCCCTCAAGAAATTTTCCCAATATCCAACCTGAGCCTCCCCTGGCACAGCCTGAGGCCGTTCCCTCTCCTCCTGTCCCTTGTTCCCTGGGAGCAGAGCCCGACCCCCCCCGGCTCCCCCCTCCTGTCAGGGGGTTGCAGAGCCAGAAGGTCCCCCCTGAGCCTCCTTTGCTCCAGGCTGAGCCCCCCCAGCTCCCTCAGCTGCTCCTGCTGCTCCAGCCCCTTCCCTGGACACCTCCAGCCCCTCCATGTCTTCCTTGTCATGAGGGGCCCAAAACTGCCCCCAGAATTCGAGGTGTGGCCCCACCAGTGCCCAGCACAAGGAGAGTCTGAACCACTTGACTTCAGCATGAGCAAGGTGGGACCAGGATCTCCTGGAAGAAGGGAGGAAAGAGGGGATCTGATATTTAAAAATCAGTCCTTTTTAAATCAGGAGCCATGGCTGTGTTGGAGGAGAGGCAAACCCTCCTTGTGCCAGGACACGTGAAACCCCCAAGAGCAGCTCTGCCACTCTGGGGCCAGCACTGGCCATTAATGGTTTGTCTGTTTATGTTTCAACCAGGCTGGGGAAGAGCTTTTAAATGCATATTTTCCTCTCGAAAATATTGGACCCCGTGTTTGCATTTTTCGGGGGCCGGGGGGAAAAATTATGTTTCATATTTTCCAAACAAACAGTGCTTTTACAGAGGCAGAAACGCAGGCCCTGAGTACCCAGCACACCTTTGCCCTTCACAGGACTTTCAAAGCTTTAATGCTGCTTGTGTGCCACGAGCTCTGCTAGTGAAAATATTCACCTGAAATGTATTTATCTTCCTTTGCTAATTAACAGCAAAATGACACAGAGAAACTTTATATTTTCCTCGGCAAGAACAGCCATAGAGGCTTCATTTATGGAGGGCTCTGAATGATCCCTATTCATGGCCAGTAAGTACTGTCTGCACCAAGAGATCCTTGTCTGCAGGGCAGAGTGACAGAGAAACCTCATCATGGAGAGCTCAGGGGCAAAGCTTCCCAAATTTTAGGCTGTTATTTCACTTTGTCTCCTAATAGTTGTAAATGTGAGGGTGTAGGTGTTCTATATATCTGGGGAGAAAATGCAGCTCTGCAAGTGAAAACACACAAGGATAGCAGTGAATGGTGTATATATATATATTTATATATATTAGCACTCATCAAAATTCATGATTTTATAAACACATCCGTGAAAGGCTTGAATAGAGGAGTCATGTGCCTGCATGTGTGTGTATATATACATAGTTATATATATATATATATATGTAAACACATAAATGTAATCATGTTCATCACAGAATCACAGACTGGTTGGGGTTGGAAGGGACTTTGTAAAAGTAATTCCAATCCCCTGCCACGGGCAGGGACACCTTCCACTAGCCCACGTTGCTCCAAGCTGGCCTTGGACACTTCCAGGGATCCAGGGGCAGCCACAGCTTCTCTGGGCAACCTGTGCCAGGGCCTCCCCACCCTCCCAGCCAAGAATTTCTTCCCAATATCCCACCTAACTCTGTTTTCCTTCAGTGTGAAGCCATTCCCCCTTGTCCTGGCACTCCAAGTCCATCTGAAATTTCCCTCCATCATCCTTGTAGCTCCTTCAGGCCCTGGAAGGGCACAACTAGGTCACCTTGAAGCCTCCTTTCTCCAGGCTGAACAATCCCAATTCTCCCAGCCTTTCCTTCCAGCAGAGCTGCCCCGTCCCTCCCCTGAAACATTTGTTCCTTCTGACTAAAATTTTCCATCCAGAGATTGCTGAAAGCCTGTGATTGATGGTTTGTACCTGGGAAGACAGTGGGACAAACCCATGCTGGTTTTGCATGAGGACCTCACCGTCTTTCAGTATTTTAATTAACACTTTTCATGTTGAAAGGGTTCAGAGCAGCCTGGCAGCTTCACTAAGGACAGGTCCTTTTTCTCCCTAATCAAAGAGCTTTTCTCCACAGGAGCTCTTGGGCTCTGTTGAAGAGCTTTTGGAGTAAAGAGAGACTTTGGATAAGGGAAGAGAAACTGGGCTTTGAGTTAAAGGTGGTTTGCCTGGCACTGCACTAACACAACTCAGATTAAATGGCTGATTGATCCAAGGGTGTGTGGCTGGAAAGGTGAGCAAAGACTAATCCATCAGAGGAGAAGGGCTTTAATCAGCTGATGGTGTAAAACAGTAGTTAAAAAGAAGAAAACAGATGCACTGCTTTGTGACCAACCCATCATTAAATTCCTCTTACCCTGGTACCAAATCTCCCTGCTGCTCTCCCACAAAGAAAACACTGGATTTCAGCTCAACTTGCAGCATCATCAGTCTTGTTTGTTAACTCAGATTATTGGCTTTTTGTGGCAGGAGCTGCATCTCCCTCCTGTGTACAGACCTGAACGCTGCACTGGAAAACTAAATCCAGCTCCTGATCTGTTTGTCTGTCCCGAGTTCCCTCTCTATTTATCCAGTTTGGGCTCCTGAGCCCTTTCCCCTCCCTGCTCTGCTGCACAGGGGCACAACCTCACAGAGAAGGAACTGTTCCCTGCAGGAAGAAACTTATTCTACACCACACACTTTCTCCTGTGCCTGCCCAAGCCTTCCTCTCCTCTTCCTCTGCCCCTGAGCATTCCCCCTCAGACAAAGCCAAGGCAAAGCCCCCCAGTCCCACGGGCTGGTTTCCAGCACACGTGGGGACTGAGAGGTGATTTGTGTGATGCTGATCCCATTCCCCCTGTTCCCTGGGCTTTGCCAGAGGAAGGACACCAGCCCAGGGTTTGTGGCCAGGAGCTGCTGACTGACAGGTCAAGCCCAGTTCCCCAGGGCTGGGCTCACTGGTCCCACTGTTACGGTCCCAGATTCCCCACATACCATCCCGCTGCGGCTCTTTTATAGCCTCCCATCCCCTTCCAGCAGCAATGACGCCCTTGTGGAGGGGATGGGGGCAGGCAGGGCTGGACATCCCCCCCTCCCCACCTTGGGGCAGGGTTTTCTCCCTCGTCCCTCTCCCCTCGGAGCCCCCCCGGCGCTTCACACGTGTCAGGGGCTGGCTCGATGAAGGGCAGGTTAATACCTCTGGGCCAAGGCTCCTGCTCTCCACTCCCCATCCCGCCTCCAGCTCCTCCACAGCCATGGCCAGGATTTTCTCTGCCTTGCTGCTCTCTTTGCTGCTCCTCCTCCAGAGCTACACCGTGTGCGGGGCCCCTCCGCAGCCCAGAGGTGAGTGGGGGGCGCGTTGGGTCCTCGGCCTCTGCCACTCCTGGGAAGGAGGAGAAGGGAGAGGGAACACCCAACATCAGCCAGGGAAGCGAAGGAACTTTCCCAACTGCGCTCCCAAGGCAGCAGGAGCTGGAGCTGGGTTTGTTTATGGCTGGTCCATGACCTCAGTGTGCTCTGAGGGACAGCGAGCTGGCACCGGCTCACCCCGAGCCCCCAGGGCGGCAGCCACGGGACTCCTGGGCCCGGCTGGAGAAGGCCCAGGTGGGAGAAGGGCTGTCCTCTGCCTCCCAAAACTTCTCCTGCGCCTTCCAGAACCGCTCCTCTCCACAGCTCCACGAGGAGGGTCTGGCCAGGAGCTGGAGGAGGAGCTGGCCAGATCCCCCCGCTCAGCCCGGGTCACCTCCCCGGGCAGCAAGGTCTGGCTGAGGTCAATGAGGTTGATGAGAGCAGGACTTTCCTATGTTTTCCTTCATCCTGAGCAAAATCCTGCTCTGTTTGACTTTCCAAGTGGGGAGCCAGGGAGGGGAGCTGCCTGCTCTGTAGCTCGCATGGCTCTAACTCCCAGTTCATGTCAGCGAGTGCTGGACACCAAGGGAAGGGCTGCAGGGTCTGCTCCTGGGGAGCACCTTCCAGGGGCTCCAGCAAGCCTGGAGAACTCATGCCAGAGAGGCAGCCAAGGCCAAACTTACTTTGGGGCATTAAAAAAACGTTGGAATGGCCTTGTGCTGCTGCAGAGCACACATTTGGGGGCAGGCTGAGGGTTGTCAAGCAGGGGTGACAGGGACCTCAGTGTTATCTGCTGCTCACGGAGGGAGATTTCTGCTACACTGACCCGTTTCTCCTCAGCAGTTTGGGAAGGGAGAGTTATCTTTGCTGTGCTACTGAAGTCAGGAAATTAAACAGAGCAGGCATTCAGCTCAGCCCTTCTGCCACTTCTAAAATAAACTCCTTGTAGGTCTGGGTTACTCAGCAGCTTTCCTGCTCTTGGAATGAATATGGCAAAGATGCCATAAAAGATATTTTCTGCTAAATCAGGGCATAAAGTTCAGCTATTCCTGCATAACTCCTAGTGTGGATATTTTTTTTTTAAAAAAGGACATTTTATTTCTGGTTTAATTGAACTTTTAAATAAACTATGCCAAGATGTCAATCAGAGCAAGTGTCCTGTCTGTCACCTCCTGGAAAGGATCAAGGCCTGTGAGCAGACAGGTTGAAATCCCAAAGCTCCCACCTGATATCCCTTCTTTTCCCTTCATTTCTCCGAAATATATTTTGCTCTCAAAAAAAAAAAAAAGAAGTTGAAAATGTTATTTAGGACAAAATCACAGAGCTTTCATGCAAAAAGAAATAGATATATTTCAAAATTTCTGTTGGATCCAACTATTCCTAAGGGAAAAAAAAATAACTTTTCCTCCTTGGTTTGTCAGTAAATCCAGAGGTGATTCATCAGCTACATGGGCAAAGGGGAATCTGGGCTTTATTTCTGCAGGGACTGATTGCAAAACTTTGAGCCTTTCTCTGTACCTTCATTTCTCACCTGTAAAATGGCCACAACCAAGTGAATTTTTCCTTCCTGTGCAACAAATTACAGTGGGAAAAATGAAAGTCATCCATATGGGAAAAGGTTATATTGCATTTTAGAGGAAATTAGAGCATCTGACAAAGTGACCACTGCCTGCTTCCCTTCTTTAGCATCTTTAGCAAGACCTTCCTGGGAGCCAGAGGCAGATTCAGCATTAGTGTCTCTCAGGAAACAAACCTGATTATATTCTTTATGGATATATCACAGGGTATTTATTTTTATCTGCCCAAAAGACTGAAAGCTCCATTAGATTTCACGCTGAGGACTTGCTATAATATTTATGTCATCATTTGGAACAGATTTGTTGGCCCCAAAAAGCTCCCATTTAAAAATCTGTCCACAGAAATTTCCTTTATGCCATAACTTCTGTAGTCCCTGGCTGCAGAAATCAAATATTAACAGAGTGTTTGATGCCCTGATAGAGACAGGCTAAATGATGGCACAAAATTAAAAGAACAGCATGCTGTAGATCTGGTGGGGAAAAAAAACGGGACAATTCATTTGGAAAACCATAAAAAAAAATATCAGCCCCTTTTTTTTATGTTTTGCCGCAGTTGAAAATGAAGATGGAAAATAGCAGGAAAATGGGAGCTTAAAGAAATAATAATAACAATCACTCAGCTCGTTGCACTGCTAATGCTTCCAGCTCCTTTCCACAGAGGATGTTTGTGGGGTTGGAGAGATGAAGTGTCAGTTCTGTGGGTTTGCAGCTCTGTGTCGTGTTCTCCCACCCCAGCTCACAGCCACAAACCCGGGCTGTGTTACCAAACACAACCTGTCAAAGGCAACACACGTTTTGAGTTAGGAAGATGGCCAGATATGGTGTTTTTCTGCCAAGAGACCGATCCACCACCTCTGCCCTAAACCTGTTTCTACTGAACCAAAGCGCAGTTTGCACTTCAAAATATTTTTCCCTATTTAGAATCATAGAATCATAAAATATCCTGAGCTGGAAAGGACCTACAGGGATCACCCAATCCAACCTGTGGCCCTGCACAGGACACCCCAACAATCCCACCCTGTCCCTGAAAGCATTGTCCAAGCACTCCTCGAGCTTGTCCATGGCTATACGTGTCCATGTCTAGCATGAAAATGGGAAACTAAAGAAATAATAGTAATAGTCCCCCAGCTTGTTGCACTGCTAATGCTTCCTGTTCCATGTCTAGCATGAAAATGGGAAATTAAAGAAATAACAGTAATAGTCCCCCAGCTTGTTGCACTGCTAATGCTTCCTGTTCATACCAGCTCCTTTCCACAGCCCATGTTTGGTTGGGGAGATTAACTGTCAATTATGTGGGTTCACGGCTCTGTGTCGTGTTCTCCCAGCCCAGCTCACAGGCACAAACCTGGGCTGTCTTACAGGAGTTTATTGGCAGTGCCATTAAGTGAAAAACAGGGTTTTTTCCTGCTGAGGTAGTCAGTTAATCCGGTGTTTCGATGCTCGGCTGAGCCTGAGCTGCTGAGCCTGGTGCCTGGTTCTGGTCGTGCCTGACGGAGATCCCATCTCATTAATTAATTAATATCTA